TCCGCCGCAGGAATACTGAAGGAGGAGGAGGGGGAAATGAGGAATGGGAAACAACCAAGTGGCATATACGTACCATTTATCATCGCCCGCCTTGGTGCTCAGGGAAGAGCGGCGGGGGAGTGGGGGAGGGAGGGTGGGAAGAAAGGCGGGGGGAAGGAAGGGAGGGAGGGATGGGGGAAACTGACAGGAGATGGGGAGTGGGAGGGCGGGAAGGGGACGGAAGAGAGGGAAGGAGCAAATAGGGGCTTCTAGAGAGAAGGAAGTAAGTGGAGAGGAATGTAAGACGGGGAGCGGGGGATGCAGAAGGCAAAAGGGGAGGGGGAAGCAACCGAGAACTGTGGCACGAAAAGTCTCTAACGGAATGGAACGGAGACTCCAACGTGCTATCGGGACCCCGTCGTCGTCCTCTTCCTCCTCCTCCTCCTCCTGTCTCCTCCTCTGGCTTCCTCCTCATCCTTCTTTTTTCTTCGACGTGCTATCGGCTCCCCGTCGTCGTCGCCGTCGTCGACGTCGCCGTCGTCGTCGACCTCCTCCTATCCAGGATGAATCGGCACATGGATCTGAATCCGATGCCAGGTCGGAGTCTGATCAGCCTAAGTGCGAAACCACGGCTGAACTTCAGTCGGGGTCAGAATCAGAATCTTGTCTGAGTCTGATTAAGTGTCTGCGTAATCATGAATAGAATTCTCGGCGCGAATCGGAATCTGGGTCCGAATCTGAGTCCGGGGCTGGGAGCCTGGGAGTGAGTCTGGGATTGGGTCTGGGCCCCACTCGGCAAATGTCGGAACACGAGACTGGATATGAGCCTGAGATTCGGCTTGGATCTGAATGCGCTTGGTTAAGAGCCCGCATCCGAGCCTACAGTTGCGGTGGGGAGGTGAAGGGAACGGAGATGCAGATGACGGAGTGTGGTGTCTGCACTTGGGCTGTCACCCACGGATCGGGATGGGTGTGCCGGCAGGCTCTGTTTGGAGTGCCGGACTCCCAAGCCTTGACCATCTTGTCGTCCGACAGCTTCTGCAGCCGCGCGACCGACAACGCCATCTCCCGGCCACTCGCCTCCATCATGACCATCACCATGCCAGGCGTGTTGCCCGCCTTGCGGCGGAGCCCGCGACCCCACGCTGGGCTTGACAGGGCTCGCGGCTCCCTCGCCCACTCCTCCGTTTCTTCTCTCCTCTCCTCTCCTCTGCCCTCTACGATCCTCTCATCTGACTTCTCCTCTCATCTCCTCCCCTTGCCTCTCTATTTCTTGCCCCCTCGCCCAATTCCGCCCCGCCCCGCCCTTCTTCCCGCCTTTTCCCGCCCCGCCTTTCATGCCCAGCCCCGCCCTGCCCCGCCGCGCCCCTTGCCCCTCTCATCTGCTCCCCCCTTTACCACTATTGCTGTCCATGTTCACCCCCCCTGGTTTGGCCCAAGACGTCTGCGGAACAAAGATGTTCGCGCATGCTGCTCTATACGCTGCCTGGCTACCTGCACAGTTGCCTATCTTCTGACTCTGGTCCTCCTGGCTTGTAATAAGAGCCCGCAGCATTCAGACACAACTACCTAACACATGCAAAGCTTCCGATGTTCGGACACCTGGGTGGCACATAATCTTCTATCCCAGGGATCCTGGGCGAGGGGTTAGTGACACTTATCGAAGCCATCGATGTACTCACAGTTCCACAGCTTGCTGCATAAACAAACAGCCATGAATTGTATATATGTGCCTACTCCAACATAAGCGTGACAAACTGCTAATATAGATCTCGTCTGAGTCGCACATCATGTACGGAAAAATGCTGATATCGTGAAAAGCCAGACCAGGTACGGTGTCTATAGAACTTGCAGATATGGAACACGCATGCGAGTGGCACACGAGAGGACATCAGAGCTGCTATTGTATCCTGTTCGAATGTGTCCAACTGGTGCAACCTCGACCCCACACACACCGAAGGTGATTCCGCCCACGATGGTTTCACGCTGATCAGGTCGCCCTCGTTCGCCGCGTCAACCGTAGGAGCTAGAATTCAATGCCCTTGGTCTTCACGCGCCAATCGCCGTAGGTCAACCAATCATTGAGACTATCCGAGATCATGCTTTCAATTGACCCACCTGCCGCCATAGCAATGGTAGGACATCAAACGAATCGCCGGATGAAACCTCGCAGCTGGTCATCGCGCACTGAGGGTACGCACAGTCTCTGATGTCGATCATGTGGCACGACTTTCAGCCAACCATGCGCTCGAAGAAATCTCTGAAATCAGCCCAACGCGTGATCTTTGGGTCTGACGAACTGGGCGTAGTCCTCAATACGAATCAAGTGTGCCCGCGTGCTGCCATCGTGGAGAGGCAGCTGGATACCTGGGGCGAACAGCTAAGCGAGCCGCATAGCAATCATCTGAATAAGCTCCTTGCCACCTACACCTGCCAGCGCTTGTGCCGGTGATGCGCTGCCTGAGACTCTCTTCGCCTTTTGAGAAAATGACATAACGTGACGCAATCGCGCGGAAGAAATTGCTGAATTGATGCTTTGAGTCTTGCGCCTGCTGGTAGCCAGTAGAAGTCGAAGCCAAGACCCAGACGCGCTTGTCAGGGCCCAGCAGGAGAATAACTGACTTCCCGAAGTTACCCCACTCGGGCCTGCAACTGCGTCAACCACGAATGAAAGCGACATCTTCGAAAAACACAGTCCCGCGTTTGCCGAATACTTACTGGTTCAAGACAGACCATCTTGATGTGCCTGATTAATGCCTGTGCAGCGTTCTGCTGAATGATCGCCGCGTCTGCAATGGCACCCAGCCGAGTCTGACAAAGCCAGAGCAAACCGCCCAGGCGCCCACGACGCGCCATGGTCTCCGTCGTCGCGCGGGGCGAGTCGTCTCGAGCTGCTGGAACCGTGCCAAAAAGAACAATTGAAGGTTTTGACAAGAACCCTCTCGAAACATCCGAGTGCCAAAATTTGCCCGCTGGTGCCCCATAGGTCCGCGCAGTCGAACATGGGGAGGTGCTGTTCGAAAGGCTTCCGGACCGCTCCGGGGCCCACGAGCGTGGCTGAGAAGACGGGCCGCCAGAATGTCTGGTTGCCTCCAATAGTCCCCCGAGGAGATGAGGTGGTGGCGTGGGTGGGTTTCGCCGGGTCCTCATTAAGTATCCTAAATCCTGAGAGTGCACGACGACGCCTGAACGGGTTCCAGGCCTGGGCGCGCCTGGTGAGCTTCATGGCGGCCTTCCGGCTGCCGGCCGGGTCGAGCTGGCCGTCGGCGTTGCTCTTTTGGCGCTCGATGGCGAGGGCGACGCGTCTGTCGTAGTCGGCCGTGGCCGCCGCGTCCATGAGATCGATGAACTCGTCTCTCTGTCGGTGTGCTCGGGGCCGTCGTCAGTGATGCGCAAGTTGACTACCTGCCAGACCACCCCAACCCAACCCGAAGACCCGAATTTCGGGTTGGGGGGGGCACGGGTTCCACGCGTGTTTTCTATGTTTCCCGACCCCCCCACACTAGAAATCGAGGGTCAATCTGAGCCTTCGGGTTGGGTTGGGGTGGTCTGGTGGGTGGTGACAAGTGGGGGCCGCCCAGCTCAGTCGCGGCCATGGGCAACGCCGCCGCGCCAGAAATCGCATCGCCAGATGATGCGGGCAAGGGCTCTGAATGTGGTGAGCCTTCCACGCTTTGCCCTTCGACTGAGATCCTGTAGAGATGTCAGCTGTTGAAGATTGCGTGTCCGGCGCGCTGATTCCTTGATGATGAGCTCATGCTGCCTCCATGCGGCAATAGGCGTAAAGTTGGCCCTGCCACTGTTCTCGCTGAAAAAGAATGAAAGTGGCGCTGGTACGTCGGGACGCAGAAGATCGCGGGGTCGATGGCCTGCTCCTCCTTTCTGGCTGCAGTGGCGTTGCTGAGAATTGGATGACGACTGGCATAATCACTGAATCCTTGGCCTGAAAAGGCTGCTCCGTCTTTGTGGGTCTTCAAGTTCGTGGCTGTGTTGAGGGGATCGGCGCCTGTGAGCGATGCGAAGATTGCGACGGCGGCACTGGCCGCCTGCGCGCTGGCCGAGAAGCGCGAGGGCAAGTCGCGCGGCGTCTCTGTGAGCGTCGAGAACAGCTGTCGCCATCGGGCATGGTCGTGTGGATATTGTCCATCGGGTGCCATTGGTCGCCCGCGCGCGGAAGGGTCGCGAAAGTGAAACGATGAATGGAGGAGGGGGGTGAGGAGGAGGAGGAGGAGGGGGAGGAGGAGGAGGAGGAGGAGGAGGAGGAGGGGGAGGAGGAGGAGGGGGAGGAGGAGGAGGAGGGGGAGGAGGAGGAGGAGGAGGAGGAGGAGGAGGAGGAGGAGGAGGAGGAGGAGGAAGAGGAGGAGGAGTCGCTCGCCCATGGCGATGAATAGACGCCCCTGGGGACCGGCGGCGGCCCCGTCTCCGCGGGGCACGCCGCGCCTCGGTCACGGGCGCCGCGTCCGCTGCGGTGAGGTCGCGCTTGCGGGCACCCCTAGGAGGGTCTCGAAGCCCGCGGTGCGATTGAAGTGAAGGGGCCCCAGGACACACAAATAAATACACACAAATAAAAGTAGGTCCCATATTTTCCCATATTTTCTGGGTTTCTGTCTTCCCCCCCACTTCCCATATTTTCCCATATTTTCTGGGGAATCGAAGATTAATTGTGTCTGTGTGTTTCTTCTCCTCCTGATGAAGATGCGCGGAGTAGCCGCGCGCCCCTGGATCGCGGGGCGCTGGGTTGCCCTCGCGCGCTGGCCCCCCATCGCCGGGGCGAGGAACGTCGCCCCGCCGTTGCCGCGGCGTTCAGGGCAGCCATCGCAACGGACCTCGTGCTCAAATGGCAACTTAGCAAGGTGTAATCAAACTGAGATCCGCGGACTGAAGTGCAGCCGTAGTTTTCTTCTTGAGGAAGGGGGTGGACTGGCGTATTCTCCAGCGCTCGCGCGCATCGTGGCAGAGCGCTCCAGCAAACGCCGTTGCCTGAAGGGTCCGACGCAACCGAAATAGACGCGGCCGCGCACGGCGAAGGACGCCGCGAAGACGGCTGGGCACGTGGAGTTGACGATGCACTCGCGGATGAAGGACTGCTGGCGCTGGCACTTGACCTCGAACTCGCTGCAGCGGCGACCGTCGACTGGAGTCTGACGCAGTAGAAAACGAGGAAGAGACTTGCGGATGAAACAGGTCGGTCTTGCTCAGGCAGTAGACGCACTTCAGCTCAAGGAAGCTGCGCTCGATGACGCAGTGGATCGCGGCCCTGAACCCCAGGCCCGCGATCATGATGCAGTGGATCTCGTTCAGCGGCCTGTGAGTCGCATTCGGCAACTTGTGGGGCTTCTCTGGGTTCGCGTGCTGGCTGTAGATGAACTAGAAGATGTTGGGGGAAGCCCTGAGCTGCTGGGCCCCCTGGTGGACGAGCGCGATCGGCACCCGTAGGCGTCGTGCGCCGCGGCGACCACCGCTTGTTTAATCCACTGCGCTGTGCCATCAGCCTTGTAGAGCGCGGCAAAATATACTGCCGTGGCGGCCTTGTTGATAGGAACCTTGGCCTACGCATCCGGGCCCCAGCGAACAACCATTGCTGCGCCCGTGCTAGCGAGCTCAAATTTGGCGGCGGGGACGGCGTTGAAAAAGGTGCGCCCTTGACCACGACGCGCGAGACAATTTCGCGCAGGGTAGTGGTGCTGGCAGAACACGAGAAACTTTTGAGTTGGGGTCTCCAACCGATTGCGTCAGAGCTTCTTATCTGGATTGACGTAGAGCGGGACGTACTGGCCTTGATTGATGACGCACTCTGGCGGTGTCTGGACTGTGAACCTGCGGCAGCCTCTTCTGCCTGGACATTGAAGTGCGCGCGCCGATGCAACTGCTCGCGGGAGTGTCACCTTCCGCCCACCGATCAATTAAGGACTGGATCTGCGATTGGGGCTATCGCCGCGAATCAAATAACGCCGTGCTGCGATTTCTGCAGCGACCGACCACACGGTGAGGAGGCGTGAACTGCTTCTGCGGCGAAGGGCTGAGCGCATGAGAGAACGAATGCTGCGGGGTCTGGCTCGCGATCCCAACGTGAAAATGTAGCCATGTTCAGGATGGGGGCGTCGGCTTCGGAGATGCTGGGCTGCTGACTGGCGCGGCTGATGGCCTCCCAAACCTCCCTGTGATGTGCATCTTGTTTGGTTCGGGCGGTCTTGATAGCCATGGAATCCCCGTCTCGACCATCCAATCTGCGGGATGCAACTGCTTCGGGTCGCTGTAGGGCTGCCAGAAATTGTAATTACAATGCGGGGGCGGCCTTGGCAACTACTGGTGTACTTATGACTTGAGCTGCCATAGTTTGTGGAAGTTCCTGCTGCGCGTCTGGGGCGAGCGTAGACTGTGGCCAGGCTTGCTGCTGTTGGCCTCCGCCGGTGGTAGCTGCACCTGCAACTGGCGTTGGTGCTACTGGAAGTCCTGCCACGGCTGTGGCCTGATGGGCTGCGGAACCTGAACTTGATACAGGAGCTGGAGACGGCTGCCGAGCTGCTTGAGCTGCTTGATGTGCCAAACACTCAGGTGCCAGATCTGCTTGCGCTGCCTGTGCTTGCAGCCATTCTCGCTGTTTCTGCGAAGGGACTTTGACAGCTGAGCCCAATGCTTCCAGTTGCGCGCGCTGCCATGTTTTTGTGCTGCGTGAAAACCAGAATGGGCCTGCTGAACAACTTGGCCTTTTGAGCGTCCACTGCGCCCTTTGGTCGAGGATGTGCGTTGGAACATGACAAGAATGCTGGTGTCGAGCCCGTTCACGGCGGCGGTCTCGATCACGGTCTCGGTCTCTGTCGCAAACGTGTCGGTCGTTGTCTCGTCGGCGCTCACGGCGTGCTCTACGTCCACTAGCTTGGCTTCGACTTTTGGGCTCGCTGTCGCTGCGTGAAGAGTCGCTGGCGGTGTCCATGCAGAAGCGGGCCGAGGATATGGAATAAAGAAGCTAGGCGGTCAGCTGCCTTGGGACATGTTGTTCTTGAGCCAAAATGGCTACAGTAAGAGAAAAGGAAAGGAGGGGGATGAGACGATGTAGTGTTCAGGCGGCGAAAGAAAAAAAGGTGTTTGCTCACGGTTCCACTGCCCTTTTCCTTCCCGGTGTTGCACCCATCCGTCGTCCTTTAAAACCGTTATCCTGCGTCGCACCACCTGGAATGGCGGCCGGGCGGGTCACGACCTTTGCCAGGGGCGTCCTCGCAGTTGTTGCCGAAGGGTATTGCGTGCACCCTCATCCAACACATTGCGAATGGAGCACACATGGTGTTCAACATGTGGACTTCGCTTTACGTAGGGCAGCGCTCATTCTTCGTCAAAGTTTCCAACAACTGCACGAATGGAAGGATGCATTGTTCCTAAAGTTGGTTCTCGTCTCAGCTGCGCGTACACTTCTGTGCATTTCTCCAGCAGGTTCACGCGCGGAGCAGGGGCCGATTTCAACATGTGGTTCCCGCCTTAGCGCCGCGCGCGTGCAGCTTCAAATATCCAAAAACAATGCACGGGTGAAGTCGGATTGGTTACGGACTATGGATCAACACTTTTTGCGCCTCGCGCTCTTGTTCGAACGTGCCCAACAGTTGCGCCAATCGAGGGCGGGTCGTTTTCCAAATCCTGATCTCGCCTGGGATTCCCTCGTGCTTTGACAGTAAGTGTTGGAAGCTGTAGGGCGTAAGATGTTTGACAGTTCCAAGCGACGGCATCCCAATCGACTCCTCAAGGGCCTCGGGAAGCGCCCCGAAGAGGCCCTCTGAGGCTACATGGTCAAGATCGCGATGGCCACATGGCTGTATGGCGACTCCCTTTGATCTCGTGCTCTGGTTCCAGCCATGCGCACAATTAGATTGAAACGTGTACCAGTTACATGGATGTAGGTTCTCCGATTTGATCTCAACAGCGATGTGGACTGTAAAGGTTTGCGGGTGAACCAGAAACTGTGACAACGATAAGCATTGAACACAGAGATCCCGCCGTGCAAATCTATGGGGGCCTCCCGTTTCCTGCGGGCGTTCGCTGTAATGGAAATGATTATCTGCGACCGCATGTACGGAACAATGGCATGGGACAAGAGGGGGCATTGCAGCATCAGTGGCGCATACCGGGTTTGCTTTGGTCCTTATCCTCGCCTTCCTCCTGCTCCGTGTCCTCATCCTCCTTCTTCTGCTCGCCCGCCTCACTCTCCCGCTCCTTCCCATCCTCCTCCTCCTTCTCCTCTTCCTTCTCGTCCTCCTCACCCTTACTCCAAGGAAGAGAGAGCCGCCCTGATCACTGTGCCGATGCCCATCTCCTGCCCGACCTTGCCAGTGCCCATGACTTTCATGCCCACGCTCAGACCACCCATTGGGTCCTCGAGCGATAGATGCCAGGGTCATGCTGCTTCTTTCGGAAGAAATTGGCGAAAATGGTGACAAGGACGGGAGCGAGCACGAGGCGGCAGAGAAGGAGAGGAGTGGGCAGTAACCGTCGCTGAAGAGCAGAAAGGGCGAGGTGCACGCATACATGGGTGGGGGAGGGAGGAACAATCAGTAGCACGAGGGCGGGAGGGAGGGGCGTAGGATGAAGATGTGGACTACCAGGATGCGGGTGAGGTGGGCCAGCACGACAAGGGCAACTTAAAGAGGTTGTCAGCCTTGCGTGCGATCCGAAGTCAGCCGCACAACGCGCAGCCTCGAGAGATAGGCCGATAGTCCAACTAGTAGAGGGGGACGACCAATCAAGGGAGCTATGTCATGAGAGAGAGAGTGAGAGGCACAGAGAGAGAGAGAGAGAGAAAAACAAAAAACACGAGAGAGAGAGAGAGAGAGAAAAAAAAAAAAAAAAAGAAAAAGAGAGAGAGAGAGAGAGTGAGAGAGAGAGGGAGAGACCTCACGGCTAGAACAAACGGCACGCGCGCCCGAGCTCTTGCACGATCGGGCAGCGATGGGGGCTTGGCCCGCGGCCAGGGGCAGGCCAGGAGAGAGGGGCCACACGACGGCCACCGCCTCAAAAACGAGGGGCTCCGGGGCAAGGGGTGGGGGGCCGATAGGGGGTTGGGGCCAGGGCCAAGGGCAAGCCAGCGGAGGGGGGGGCGAGGACGACGGCGAGCACCGCCACGAACATTAAAGTGCTCTGGGGCCAGGTAGGGCGATGGGGGTGGGGCCAGGGCCAAGGGCAAGCCGGCGGAGGGGGGGGCGAGGACGACGGCGAGCACCGCCACGAGCATGAAAGTGCTCTGGGGCCAGGTAGGGCGATGGGGGTGGGGCCAGGGCCACGGCGACGGGGGGGAAGGGGGGCGAGGGGGGGGGGCGCGAACGGCAAAGAGGCACCACTACGAACGCAACTTGCTCTGGGGCCAGGCGGGGCGAGGCGGCTCGGGCTGGACCGCTGCCACGGAAGCAAAGGGCTCTGGGGCCAGGGGTGGCAAGGCTGATGGAACCAGTAGGGGGCCACATGTGAACCCTACCCCTACCCCCCACGATTTCTGAGGGGGAGGGTGGGGTTCACCTCGTCCGGGAGCTCCCGAGCGAAGTGAACCCCACCCTCCCCCTCAGAAATCGTGGTGGGTAGGGGTAAGGTTCACATGTGGCACCCTAGCCAGGGCCAGGGGTAGGCCCGGGCAGGGGGGGGAAGAAATGGCTCCGAGCTCTAAAGAACACAGCTGCGAAGGAGAGTAACTTGGGGGCCGGGGAGGGCACACGAATGAACGAACGAACGAGCCACGAAAAGGAAGGGCCCCGGGGCCAAAGCATGGGGTCTGTGGCCAGGAGGCCCTCCGGGCGGGGCCAGGTCGCCCCCTCTCCCCGTCCCACTCACACAGGGAGCACCGATCCTCGGGAGCGCTCAAGCGCTGACGCAAAGGTAGCAAGCGCGGCTCGGGGAAGCAGTCTAAGCCTGACCAGCCAGACCCGATGAGACCCCTGGTTGGAGCTTCCAGAGCCCCTCCGCATTCTGAGCCAGAGCTGCCGCAGTGCACCTCCAGCGACGAGGGTCGGACGAAAATCGACCTCCCGAACCATCTGCAAAGATGACGGTGATACATAGAAGAGGATAGATGGACCACGGCCAAAGCGTTCTAACGGTAGAAAATGCTCCGCCTGAAACAAAGAAGCAACATTGGCTGGATAACCACGGCTACAATATCGGGGCGGAGAGTGCAATCAACTTGGCCGAAAACGATGGTACTTCAAAGCTGCAAGGACACGATTAACAGAAGTTGGCAACAGATGCCTGGGCCAACTTTCCTGAGGCATCGCCATCAAAACTGAAACAGCCCTGTGCATCCGACACGTAATACGTTAGTGGGCGAACAAGGAAAAGCCGCGGGCTCGCAG